CAGTGCACGTAATAGTCAGTTCGTGAGGATGAAACTTTAATTTAACAAGCGGCAACCAAACCAGAAACATGAATGCCCTCTACAAAATACAAATAAAAATCCCTGCGAAGCAAAGCAAAAAAAACACGCGCAAGCACGCGTGGAAGCCAAACCGCATGGGGATGTAGCTCAGCGGTAGAGCTTTCGTTTCGCATGTGAAAGGCCCGGGTTTCGAATCCCCGCATTTCCAAGAATACTTTTTTTTACAGATCGTTTCGAGCTCGTATCGTAGTTTGAACGTGAAAGTGGTACGGATCATTGATTGCCAAGCGTGGACGCTAAAGAGCATGGGGATGTAGCTCAGAATCATGTGAAAGGCCCTTGGGTCGAATCCCCGCATCTCCAAAAATGCTATTTTGTTACAGATCATTTTAAAAATTTCCAGCCTGGAAGTGACATTGATTAATGATTGTCAAGAGTGGAAGCCAAATTGCGCGGGGATGTAGCTCAGAGGTAGAGCGTTCGCTTCGTATGTGAAAAGCCCGAGGTGCGAATCCCCGCATATCCAAGAGTACTTTTTGTTACAGATCGTTTCCGGCTCGTATCGTACTTTGAGTGCGGAAGTGGCACAGATTAATGAATATCAAGCGAGGAAGCCAACGAACATGCGAATGTAGCTCACAGGTAGAGCGTTCGCCCCCCTGTGAAAGGCTCGGGGTTCGAATCCCCGCAACTCCCAGAGTACTTTTTGTTAAAGATCGTTTCCGGCTCGTATTGTATTTTCAGTGCGGAAGTGACACGGATTAATGAATGTCATGCGAGGAAACCAAAGAGCATGGGGCTGTAGCCCAGAGGTAGAGCGTTCGCTTCGCATGTGAAAGGCCCGTGGGTCGCATCTGCAAAAATGCTCCTTTGTTACAAAACGTTTCCGGTTTTTATTGTATTTTGAGCGTTTAAGTAACATGGATTAACCACTTAACTGAATAGTTTTCTTTGCTATCTAATAAGATGACCCCTCCTGTTTTGGAAAGGGGCTGTCATTCCTATTCATCTAAAAGGCATAGGATACTTAAGATGCTTATGGATCCTACATATTTTTTGTGTCAAATAGAAATAATTTATAAAGCTAATTAATGATTCAACCTTTTTGTTTATAATACTAAATTCGATAAATCTCGATGAGAGTATTTTCTGGGCTGCTAGTTAAGCGGTTAATGATCGTCACGCGTGGATACCAAAGCCCATGTGAACTAGAGGTAGAGCGTTCTGTTCGCATGTGAAAGGCCACTGAACTCCCGCATTTCCCAGAGAATACACTTCTATTACAGATCCTTTCCGGTCGTATCGTCATTTGAGCGTAAAGTGGCACGATTAATAATATCCTGCGTGGAGCGCAAAGAGCATGGGGATGTAGCTCAGAGGTAGAGCGTTCCTGCATGTGAAGGCCGGGTTCTGAATCCAACCCCAGAGACTTTTGTTAAGCATATCGTTTCCGGCCTGCATTCGTATTTTGAGTGTGGAAGTGGCACGGATTAATGAATGTCATGCGAGGAAGCCAAAGAGCATGGGGATGAGGCTAGAGGTAGAGTGTTCGCTTCGCATGGAACGGCCCGGAATTCGAACTGCATCTCCAAGAATTATTTTGTTACAGATCTTTTCCGGTGATCGTATTTCAGTGCGAAGTGACACGGATTAATGAATGTCATGCGAGGAAGGCAAGAGCGGGCTGTAGCCCAGAGGTAGAGGCTCCTGCTTCATGTGAAAGGCCCGGAGTTCGAATCCGTATAAAAAAAACTATTTTTGTTACATCATATCTGAGTTTGTATTATTCTTTGAGACAGAAGGGCACGGATTAATAATTGTCACGATGGGAAGCCAAAACCGCATGGGATGTCAACATGGAAGCTGAAGAGCGAGGGTTGTAGCTCAGAGGTAGAGAGCAATACGCACCGGAACGAAGATGA